TCAAATTCCAATCCGCAAATTAGACATACCCCAGAACTAATAATAAATAAATTTAACAATAAAACTGTGTATTATCAAATATATCGGTTTGGTTAATAGAAATAATAAGTTTCGAAAAGTATAATGAAGAAAAACCATGATTGTAAAAATAAACATTTATTTCAAACAAAAATAAGAAAGAAAGTATAATGTAAACACATATGTAAATAAATGTTTAAAATGTCAAATCTTCTGCACATTGTAAATTATCATTATCATTTTTATTTACATTATAATTTAACAAAGCATCATTCAGCTCAAAATTACAACAGTTATTTTCATTCAATAACTGCTTAGTTAAAATTAATGAATTGCATCTTTCCACATTTAGACGATTTCTTAATTTGGTTTTAATATTATTTATTTATTAAATGAGAAGATATTACGTGTATAAATAGCTATAGTCGTACTTTAAATATAAAATGAGGGTTTCTACGTTATTAAATACAAGATATAAATTATGCTGAAATGCTGGAGGCCGAGTCAACAAAAAAATAATATATAAGGTTCTTTCGTTCGCTATTGGTGCAGTGTCCACCAGTGTAAATTACACCAGTTACACCACCTTATTTTCCTTAATTTACTTCCTCCTTATTCCTTATACACATATCGAGTGTAAATCACTCCTGCTAAATAGCTGGTGGAGAAAATTCCTACCAGTGTACACCACATCGCCGACAGGAAGGTATAGTGAGTTTTACACCGGGCCAAACGAAAGGTTTAGTGTACGTTGGTGTAGTTCATTCCTACACCAGTTGGACGAACGGAAGAACCTATAATTTCCGCGTTTAAAAATCCACATCGGATGCATTTTTTACATCTCGAGCGTTTTTTTTATCCACATAGGACACATCTGTCCCATTACATTTGCCGCGTTTGAGAATCCACATCGGATGCATCTGAGACGTAGTAAATCTTTGATCACGTGATTCAGTATACGTAAATGTAATGGGACAGATGTGTCCGATGTGGATAAAAAAACGCTCGAGATGTAAAAAATGCATCCGATGTGGATTCTCAAACGCAGCAATTTAAGTATACGGATCCACGTGATCAAAGATTTTTTACATCTCAGATGCATCCGATGTGGATTCTCAAACGCGGCAAATAAAGGATGCTTATTTTGGATTTGTTAAAACAAGAAAACAGACATAACAAATGTATAGATTTCTAAATTTTTGTAAATATGGCCTCTGAAGCTTAGAAGGAGCCACTCATAAAATTGTGATATTTTAAAAAGTAATAGATTTTTTGTTTTTTTCTTAAAAGTCGTAATAACGTACTAATATACTTTTTTAGTAATAGATTTGTTACAATTGTAATAGCAACGGCAACACTGCATATGAGATGTAAAAAATCTTTGATCACGTGATTCAGTATACGTAAATGTAATGGGACAGATGTGTCGAATGTGGATAAAAAAACGCTCGAGATGTAAAAAATGCATCCGATGTGGATTCTCAAACGCAGCAAAAGCATTGTAAAAATTTTAGTTTTTAATTATTTATTAGTTCGAACATTCAATTTTTATAATTTTTTGGAATAGTCGGCATAACTAAAAACTCATGCAACCATTCCTCTTTTATCCGTTCATTTTTTCTCTTCGTTAACTTAACTTTTGCATCACTTGTACATACTACGCATGTCCTGACAAATTGCCCACTCTAATGTTTGCTGATCCCTAATTTTTGGCTCCGCAAACACCTGAAATCAAAATGCGCATGGTAATCTGCTGTGGACTGTGTGGACTTGTCGGTGACAGGCTCCGTGAATGGCGCCAGAGATGGCGCGAACAGCTTTATACAAGAATGATCCACAAAAAATGTAGGCCATGGCAGACAAACACAGATATACAAGTTATGTCTGTGATAACTGCGCATAGCTCTGAATTAAATGCAAAATGACACTAAAAAAAGAAGAAAAACTTTTTGTGGATCATTACCTCAGAGTAAGTAAGTGTATGCCGCGTTTGAATATCCACATCAGATGCATTTTTTACATCTCGAGAGTTTGTTTATCCACATCGGATACATCTACATCTGCGTTTGTTTATCCCAGATGTAGCTGTACATATTACATTTTTTACATCTCGATTTGAAATGAGATGTTCGTTCCATGCTAGAAAGTAGGTGTTCTGTGAAGCAGGGACCCGGACCGAAATGAAATTGACGGTTCGGTTCCGGTTCTTATCACATTTAAAAAAATCCGGTCCGGTACGGTTCCGGTTCTTAAAAAAAAATTTCGGTTCGGTCCGGTTCTACCAAATTTTTTTTGGTTCGGTTCAGTTATTTCGGTTCTATTGATTTTTTTTATAGTAGGTATGTACAGGGTTATTCATTATAAATTACCAACCCCTTATTATCGTTATTGCATATTGAAAAAAAAAGTTTCAAATAAAAGTTGTGTGGTTATAACTGTTTTTTGTTAAAATTCTATCAAATGTACATTAGCGTGCAGATTTTCGAGGATACCTTGTATATTTTTACATTTTTATAATCCTCTCAACGAGCTGATTTCAACGACGGATCAATTTGATGTCTAATCTGGATAATAAACATCTACATCAGCCACCTGAAAAATCACATTTTTTTTTTTACTCAAAAGTCAGATGAGATTTCCAATTTCCAAAAATGTGATTTTTCATGTGGCTGTAGATCCTTTATTATCCAGATTAGACATCAAGTATGATACATCGTTGAAATCAGCTCATCGAGAGGATTATAAAAATGTAAAAATATACAGGGTATCCCATTTAAAAAATTTATTATTTGTATCTCCTGAAATCTGCACGCTACTGTACATTTGATAGCAATTTAACAAAAAACAGTTATAACCACTCAACTTTTATTTGTGACTGTTTCTATAGGCAATAATAACGATAATAAGGGGTGGGTAATTTATAATGTATAACCCTGTACAATCTGACAGGATAAGATTGACTTGTAAAGGCCAAATGCCCAATAGTATGAACGTATTTAAGGCCTATTAGAAAGACAATATATATTATGTAATTATATATTCCGTACAGTTTTATGAAAAAGACACAAGAACCAAAAAAAAACCGAAAAAATTCATTTTTATTTCGGTTCGGTACGGTCCGGTCCATAAAAAATATTTTTAATATATTATCGGTTCGGTTCCGGTCCATCTAAAACATTTCGGTTCCGGTCCGGTTTTCGGTTAATAACGGTTCGGTCCGGGTCCCTGCTGTGAAGCCAAGATTATTGATTTATCCTTTATTTATGCTAGCATGAATAAGTGATTAGTGTGTTTAATTTTTGTTTAGAATATAAATTTAAGTTGATTTCCAGTTTCAAAAGTCAAATTTAAAGAATATAAATTTCTAACTTGTCATTTTACCACATGACCACTAAAGTCTAGAGCGTTTGTTTATTATCTACATTCAGATATAAGCAGTCATTGATAAACTATAATATTCACGATGCCAAGATTGAGTCGACAATCATAACACTCTAGTCGTAGGGACGGGGTGAGAAGGGACAAAGAAAAGAATTTTACGCAGATACAACTTATTTTTATTAATGAATAAATGTGTAAGCCGCTGTCCGCTTATAATATACAATGTAAATATCCATGCCGGTGTAAGCCCTTTTGCCACTTCCAACCTAACATCACTAGGTTTTGGAATTTATTAAAAAATATTACATCTAATTTAGTGAAATTTAATATAACTAATGATTCAAATTTTTTTGGGTTCAGTTGCATTAAAATAGGTTGAATTATTTTAGCTTTTTTAATATATGTAAATAATTTTGTAAAAAAACGAGAATAATGAAATAGGCATATGACAACAGCGGATATTATACCCGCCTGTGACCCTTAGAATATGTTTTATTCAGGACCGCACGATATTTGTTAGTATAGAGAAAGTAAAAGTTGAAAAGTCTTTTGGTAGGTAGAGAGGGGGTAAACGTCAAACCACGTCGGGCGGCTCCGAGAATTTCACAGTAATGTTTACCTGCCAGTGTCGTTTCATAGAATAAGTAATTTTAAATTGTTATCGGCGGAACCGGACAATCGCATGTATTTATGGATTATAAATAATTATTAAACATGTATTATAATATTCAAATTATAATTTTACAAAATTTCAACAGCTATTCACAATTTATTAAACTATTTACTCGAAATTATTATTAACATCTATAAAATAATTTTGTACGCCAATGTATCGCGTCCACTTCGGGGAGATCCGCTGCCAACCTGTCAATTTATGTGTATAAAGTGGGAGAACTGGCAAAAGCATTTCCAACTTTTACTTCTGTTCTAGTTACATCTCCTCGTTATCTCTGATTCAGATCTAATCTTTTATCACGCGATAAAAAATTCACAACATCTCGGATGCATCCGCGGCAATAATCTAAATAAAAGATTTTACTAAAAAAAATTAAAAATATTTTCTGCCTTTAAAATTTAAATACCGTTAAAAAACTTTTTGCATTACCATTTTTAGTGGAAAGTCTAAACATGGTATTTCTGTGCATAGTAAACAAATCGTTAGCTCATTATTTATAATAGGAAAAATCGATTGTTGAGAGATTTGTGTAATTCGGTTTATTTATTTTTATAAATTACAGCATGTGCTATTATTTAAGTAAAGACATCTCCTTCTATAAATCGTTATAAACTTATCAAATACTCTCAAAAATCGTGTTTCTGAAATAATCTCTAGGCATATCTAAAAAAAAATCTCAAAAATAAGTCAGTTTATTAAAAAAAGACCGAGTACTTACCACCAAAATATTTATAGTGGTAATACATAATAAGTATAATGAGTTTTGGTCCATACATATATTTTTTCCTCTGATATATCTATAAATATTATTCTAAGCATATTCTAAACTTTTCATCAGTGTAAAATAAAATATCATCAGACTCGAATTGCGAGTCTTGTTATAGAACGTCTATGATTAGAACATTTCTATTTCGAGATAAGGACGAAAGATGACGTTACCAGTTGCAGAATTTTATTTTTATGGGTTTACATATTGCATTATTTACATTTTTTGCAAATATAAAATTAAATTGAAAACAAACTGTGATCCAAAGGTTATCCATTTGTGTTGTGTCATCAACTAGATTTTTTCTGTGATATAACTACTAGTCTATATTTTTAAAATTTATTATAAATTCACTGTATTTACCTCTGCACTTTAGTACTGAAAAACTGAAATAATTAGATTAATACAGGTCTACAATAATTGTACAATTTAAACTATGGCAAGAATTGCATTCGAAGCAAAACATCTTATGGCAATGATAGAATCATCTTCAAGATTTGAAAAATGTATGAGAACCTTAAAAATAGACAGTCTAGGTAAAGGTAAATGTACAGCCTCACTAATGGTGTCTGAAGAACACACAAATCCAATGGGGACAATGCATGGAGGATTCTCGGCATCATTAGTAGATAGTATCTCAAGTTGGGCTCTTCTTACACATGAAAAAGGAAATTGTTTTAGTGTATCAGTTAATATGAATATGACCTACTTGCAAGGAGCAAAAGAAGGTGAAGAGGTACAGGTTGAAGCCAATACAATTAAAGTTGGAAGGACACTGGCTTTTCTTGAAGTTTTTATCAAAAATAAAAGTAATGGAAACATTTTAGTCAGAGGTGAACATACAAAATTTTTAAAGAGAGAGTAGCATGTCATATTTGGGTTTATTAATAATTTCATTTGTAATTTTAAAATTCTATTATTACAAATTGTAAAAAGGTAGGTATTATTTGTGATTATTGGCTAGGTTTTACTTAATGTATAAAATCTCTAATTAGTCAAATATTATTTTTACATCACTGATCACATTTGTAGCATGGGTGGCAAATTACTTTAAAGTTAGTTCAAATTTTGATTGCTAGGATCCAAATTATTGATTTTTTGTTATACATAATTACCTACTATAAATTAAAATGAAACTAAGTCACTGTAGAAATACGAAAGTAGTAACTAAAATAAAAATATGTACATAGTAGATCTGATCAGATCACCTGAAAGATGTTAAATTATAACAAAATGACAAACTTTTAACATTACAATGAATAAAATTTGATTTTTTTATTTATGAATAATGTACAAAGTTGTTGATGTAACCAGGAAATAATATTGGATAAAGGCAGCATAATATAGGTAAAATTTTATTTAACTTGTTTGTCAAGTAATTTTACTTTTATTATGTAATATAAGTACAAACCAATGGTTTTTGATAAGTGCTAAAACTGATTTTACATTGTTATTATTTCCAACATGACATAATTAAGTAATCACAATTTTTGTCTGTTTTTACAGTACATCTACAAAAAGTATTATATGTGCATTATTAACTCAAAAATATTGGTGGTTCAGATTTTCTTTTTTAAAATATGTGCCTGAAAGTTAAATTATTTGTACAAAAGCTTTGAAAAAATATATGTTGGAATAAAAAATTCTTAAATTTTATCTGTTTTTTTTTTTAATCTAAAGTGAGTGACCCGTATAATTTTTTAAAATTTAAAATTGTTTTCTATAATTGGAAGAAGAAAAACAAATATTTAATAAAGCCAGTTTAGAAAATTTGAATTCCAATTCTGTTCCATAAGAGTGATATAAGCTGAAACTAATAACGTGACTATAGCATTACAAAACAGAAACAAAAATGTATACTTTTCCCAAAATTACAATGTATTTCCTTATCAGTGCACATAACCTAAAATTAAACTAATGCACATTTTAAAATTTTTTTCATATGGGACTGGAACTACCAGAAATCTACATTTCTCAAGTAACAGTATATACCTACTGGTAAGAATAATTTTGCAGTGTTTATTTCAATTCAGGCAAAATAAAACTTGTATTGAAAAATTATTTTATTGCATTTTCTGTTACACTTTTAAATCTGATTTATTCTCGAATATTAACTTAAAAATCTTACAACAAACTTGAAAATTGCATATACATTTGTTAATTCAATAATATTAAATATATAGTAGTAAATTCGAATAAAGAAATTTATATTTTTAGATCTTAAAATTAGTAAAACATAGGCCTTAAAATAGATAGTTGTTTTTAGAAAAAAATATCAACTATTAATATCTAAAATTTTATATAATCTTAGGTTATTATTTTTAGATTGGGACATTTTATCTTCTATTTCAGTAGAATGTAAAACAAAATAATCGGGAAACCTTTTGAGTTCTAAAAAATCAGAAAGAACTGGTTCTTTGTCTTTTTGGGGCAATGGACTCCGTACTGAAGTAGGTGGAGATTGATTCTTTTCACACATCAACGGAATTAGATCTTTGTAAATTGGTTTATCATACGGAAAATTTAAATTCTTTAAAACCTGAAACTACAAAATGAAACACATTTAATTTGTAAATCTCAATCTTACCTTTTCATCTGAAGCTAATTTTTTATCTTTCCTTGTCTTTTCCTCGGCATCAAAACAATTAATTTGTTTACATAATTTTACTAATGTATTGGGTTTAGGAACATCAAATGAACTTGGAAGATTTTTGCATGTACATGTTTGCTTCCTAATGGTGTCTGTTTGAACACTTCTTTCACTGCTTTTTTTAATATCATCTCTGATAATTTTAACTTCTGGTAGTTGCTTTTCTGTGTTACGTACTAACGTTTTTTTAATAGTTGTTTTTATTGGATAATGTCGATTTTTATTTTCTTTGGATTTGGTTGTTTCAGTATTCGAGAAGCAATGTTTTTTTATTCTAAAATCTTTATCCATATTTTCTTTTAAGAGTTTAATAAGCACAGTATTTAAAAAAAACTAGTTTTTTAAATATAAACAAAATATCGATGAAAATTTTAAGGTTAATTTCCTGTTTTTGAATCTTCTTTTTTTTTGAAAGGCCTCTTACTGCATCAGTTAAAAAAATTATTGGAAGCTCCGCATAGTCAGCAGGGCCGCAATAAGGATTTTTGGTATTGTACAATACAATACAAAAGAAACTGCATTTAAAAATCTTTTATTACATACATTAACTATAAACCAATCACACCATCAAAATCTGACTCATCTTTCATCAGCATCTAAAATAGTTCTTAATAAAATACTTGAAGTGTACTTTATATTATTTTCGTATCATGCATATCCTAGGTATCACAAAACACTAGAAATATGATTACACGTGCCTATAGTTCTTGCATCTGTCTTACATGTACAGTAATACCCAGTTATGTGGATTCTCTTGAATTTCATTATACTCTATAAATAACATGTGCTTCACATTATTCGTAAATCTTGAATATATTCGACACCGCAATAATGTAGGTTCAAATTCTTCACACTGAAAAACAAATTCATTTAGACGGGGCTAGTGAAACTTGGTACATATCAACAGTTTTGATCCTTAAATATTTCAAAGAAAGTCTTGGAAAATAAAAATTATTTCGGTCTAGATCTAACCACACTCTCCTTCTACGAACAAATTATCACATTTTACGCGTGCTTGCACCCTACTGTAATTTTCTGCAGCAATTTGTACAAGTCTTCTTGACAACTCAGGCGTAGCATCTGGTATGGTAAGTGTTTGGTGATACCTATTAATTGGTGCACACCCAATTTTTAATAGATCTTTCAAGTGCACACAATGATCCAATTGAATTGTATTTTTAAAAAATTTAAGGATATTTTTTAGATGGTCATTTCTAGATTCCACAATCCATCTCGTTTTTGTAATCAGTCGTGCCCTATTGGCCTCTTCTACCGTGAACTGCCGCTGTCCTCGAGGTAGGTTAGGAGGAATATCGCAACAAAAACCTAGATTTTTAAGAAATTCCACTGCATCTCTATATCCCCGATCTACAACAAATATGTTTCCTTCGTTGACCCAACCTCGTAAATTGTTTATATCTATCTGCATGTCGTTAATCAAAATTGATGCATCATTGTTATGTGAATTACTAAAGTATGGACCATGTACGTCAACAATAAAACCGTCAGGTGCTACAACAAGTCCTGCGTCCAGCTTTAACTAAATTGTATTTTTTATGGACTGAAAATGATTGTCTTTGTATTCTGAAATTGGAATTATTAAATAAATAGCTTAGCGATATCCCGTATACTGTCGAATCAACAGATTGCGTGATCGATGATTCATATAGCCGATAAGGAACAAAGGAAGATACATATATGGTGTGACTTGTAGATATTTTGGAACATTATTGTGTATTCGATTTTGAAGAAGTATTGATATTTAGTGGTAATTGTTAATTATAAAATTGTTCGGAAGACCGTGTGTTTTTCTAGACCCGATATATGGTATCTCTAACATCTCAGAAGTGGGATAAAGAATCGCGTCCAATTAATTTTTCTTTTCTTCTGTGCGCAATAAGAAAAATAAAAAAATGCCACGTAAGCGTCGCCGTCAAGCTTCCACGTCTTTATCAAGTTCAAGTGAATCGACATCATCTTCAGAAAGTACAACTACGAACTCAGTAGCGTCAACTCCTGATAGAAGTTATAGAAATAAGAGTAAGAAGTTGAAAAGCCGAAAAGCAAACAAAAAACTGAGGCTCAATGATAAGCATTTGATTGAGATTGGGGTAAGTACTGCAATGAATTCACTGCGTGAACGAAATAGTAGTAATGTACTGGCTAAAGTAATACCAGAATTTGATCCTAAAAATGATAGTGTGTGTGAATAGCTTAATATTATTGATCAACATTCTGAATGTTATAATTGGGACGAAAACACCACCAAATTTTAAGCGCATAATAAATTACGGGGAACAGCGGAAAAATGGTATCATAATTACATTAAATATGAAATTGGCTGGGCAAATTTTAGTTGGGCAAAGTGGAAGAAAATATTGAGTGACATATTTCAAAGCGATATAAATACTTACTATTTATGAATATAGTAAATCATAGACCTCAAATTGGGGAATCGCTTTATCTTTCACTTTGATCATTTAGCTAGAATAAATAGGTTGAACGTATATTTTTCCGATGCTGACAAAGTTTCTCTTATATTGGGGGCTGTCAATGATGAAACAATTTCTTCGGCTGTAAAAGCAAGTTTGAATAATAATGTAAATATGCTTGCAAATTATTTAAAAGATCGAACTCATGAAATTCCGGGTACTAGTAAAAGTAGTAACGCTTTCATACCACAGTCAAATAAATATTTAAGGCCGGTAAGTAAAACTAAGTTTAATTGTTACATATGTGGGAAAATTGGCCATTTACAAAGGGAATGTAGAATGCGGGATACCTTAAAATCAAAAAGATGTCATTATTGTAATAACCTAGGACATCTAGAGGCCGCATGTATAAAAAAGAAAACTTCCAAACAGGAAAATGAATCTACCGAAAAATGTTCATCAGATTCGACAATTTTTAGGATTAATAGGTTATTTTCGCAAATTTATCTACAAGTTTGCAGAAAAATCTAGTTTATTAACTAAGTTGTTACAAATAGAAGCAAAATGGGTATGGACTAATGACCATAGTTCGGTGGTACAGAATCTAAAACATATCCTGATAACCAGTCCGATCTTAATTATCTTTGATCCGAAGTTGAAAATTTTATTGTATACGGATGCAAGTCGCGATGGACTAAGTGGAATATTGATTCAACTTACGGATCAGGGAGAAAAACCTGTGGCCTATTTTAGTAGACAAACAACGACTTAAGAAAAAAAGTATCATTCCTTTGAACTTGAACTTTTAGCAATTGTTGCGAGCGTAGTAAAATTCAGACATTATTTATTGGGTATTAACTTCATTATTAGAACAGATTGCAATGCAGTTAAAACACTTTGAAAAAGAAAGATATTAATTTACGCATAAGTCGGTGGGTATAAGAGTTGCAAGAATGTTCATATTCGGTTGAGCATAGACCAGGGCAACAAATGCGTCATGCGGATGCATTGAGTCGCAATCCGGTAGAAAATCTTAAACAAAATATAATGAATCGATAATGTTAATAACGGACGGAGATTGGTTAGCTACTGTTCAAAACGCGGATCCCGAAATTAGTCATATTAAAGAGCTACTAGAATCAGGGGATCAAAGTGTAGAAAAGGATATATTTAATAATTATGATCTCAGAGCAGGTAAAATATTTAGACTTACTGAAAATGGCCGGAGGTGGGTTGTTCCTAACAATTGTCGTTGGCAAATAATACAAGCGAATCATGATGATCTGGGACACTTTTCTGTAGAGAAGACTTTACAAAGGTTAAAGGATCGTTATTGGTTCCCAAAAATGCGAAGATTCGTGAATAAATACATTAAATCTTGTATTAATTGCCAATATCATAAAACACCTGCGGGAAAAAAACTGGGTTCTTATTCTAATTGCAAAATTCGCACGTCCATTCCATACACTACATATTGATAATTTGGGACCATTTGTAGAAAGTAAAACCGGTAATAAATATTTGATAGTTGTAGTAGATTCGTTCACTAAGTTTACATTCATAGAAGCAGTACCAAACACAAAGACTAAACCTGTAATTAAGAAAATGAAACAACTTATCAGTATCTTTGGAGCGCCGAAACGTCTGATATCAGATGCTGGAACAGCATTCAATTTTCAAAATTTAAAACTTTCTGCGTAAATCATGGAATACGCCACTATCAGACTGCTGTAGTCATACCACGAGCGAACGGGCAAGTTGAGCGATACAATAGAACAATACTAGATGCAGTGGGTACAAGTGGAGCCAATTTAGAATCCGATGATTGGGATTGTAATATTGATAACGTACAACTGGGTATAAATAGCACCATCAACCAAACTACTAAAACTACGCCCGCAGAAGTCATGTTTGGCATTAAGTTAAATGTAGCTGGTGACAAATTTGTAAACCATGTAATAGAAAACCCGACGATTGACATAACAAAACTGAGAAATGAGGTTGAACAAAGATTAGAAAACAATAGAAGAAAGCAGGACCATTACAATAACAGCAAAATAATTAGAGCGCCAGAATATCATGTGGGTGACAAGGTTCTGGTGAAAGTAACGAGATTTGGAAACGACGGTAATAGTAAGAAATTAAAGGAAAAGTTTAAAGGACCATTCATGGTTATAGAAGTTGTTGGAAAGGATCGTTACCGAGTAAAAGATGACCTAGAGACTGAACGATGCAAAACATCCAGACGTTATGAGGCACTTGTGACAGCAGAGCATGTGAAACCTTTCATTGCTAGGAATGATGACACATGGTAAGCTTAAGTGAAAGAAAAAGAAAAACTGGTTATGTATGCCTACTGAGAGCTGAAAGAGCAATCAGATTGCACTAGGTTACATAGACACAGTAAGGGAAAAAGAAAGACTGGTTATATATGCCTACTGAGAGCTGAAAGAGCACTCAGATTTCACTAGAATACATAGATGCAGTAAGGGAAAAAGAGACTGGTTATGTATGCCTACTGAGAGCTAAAAGAGCACTCAGATTGCACTAGGATACATAGATGCGGTAAAGAAAAAAGAAAGACTGGTTATGTATGCCTACTGAGAGCTAAAAGAGCACTCAAATTGCACTAGGGCACAAAGACGCAGTAAAAGAGGACTGGTTGGGTGGTTCGAAGGAGCACCCAGATCGCATTAAGATACATGGAACCATTAACAGTAAATAGATAATTTTTGTTTCAGATACTCTCACATTGAGGACAATGTGTATCTAGGATGGCCGAATATTAAATAAATAGCTTCGCGATACCCCGTATACTGCCGAATCAACAGATTGCGTGATCGATGATTCATATAGCCGATAAGGAACAAAGGAATATTCATACATATATGGTGTGAGGTGTGACTTGTAGATATTTTGGAACATTATTGTGTATTCGATTTTGAAGAAGTAGGTATTGATATTTAGTGGTAATTGTTAATTATAAAATTGTTCGGAAGACCGTGTGTTTTTCTAGACCCGATATATGGTATCTCTAACAGAATATTTTGGCATTTTTAAATAAGTATAGTCTGGATACAAAATTACTTGTGGAATTTCTGGATCAAACAAAATATTAGAAAATTCATTCACATGTCTTTGGCTATAAAGTTCGCAATTTCTAACATCGTTACACTGGACATTAATATTTGCTGGCACAAATCTTGTGATTAAACTAATCTTGACCAGTAATATTTTTTTACTGACATTTTGTCTTGATGAGTAACGAAACATGGACGGCAATAAACACATCCTACAGACCTTGACGTAATTTTACTAAAAAGGCCAGTAATTATCTCTTCTTTATCTTTCTATGATTTCCATAAAGAACAGTGGAATCACAATATGTTTATAATTCTCTAAATTGCTCCTTCGACAGAGGCACAAAACTTTTACATTCTGCATCTTCGAAATTATCTTATGACTATATCTTGTTTTTCAAATATTGGACGAGCAATCGTTCATTTTTGAAAACCATAGGGCAATTTCCTTTCCTTTCATAATAATGAAAGAAGGAATGGTAATATGGTTTTCAAAAAACGAGATTGGATTTCAGCAGTATCGTTTAAATGGCACAATACCTAGTATTACTTTGTACCTTAGTTTTTATATAAAAATCTAGTTTATTTATCTCGATTTCTTCTACATATAAAACAATTGGTCGGAAATTTATAAGCAAGTAGTTCAATGGGTATTGCTCTTGGATCTTGGTCTAATTGACAAACTGAACATATTCTCGAATTGCAGTAGAAATAAAGTTTTGCATTAGTATTACTTTGTATAAATACCTTAGTTTTTATACTAAAATCTAGTTTATTTATCTCGATTTCTTCTACATATAAAACAATTGGTCGGAAATTTATAAGCAAGTAGTTCAATGGGGCCTATTGCTCTTGGATCTTGGTCTAATTGACAAACTGAACATATTCTCGAATTGCAGTGGAAATAAAGTTTTGCATTAAGTGGTAATGGCATTTCAGGAAATCCAAATTTTGATCTATGCAAAACTGCTATATCTTTTCTTTTTTATATATTGACAATATTATTATTTTCTTCTTCTATTAAAAAAAATTAACTATAGTAATACATGAAAAATGTACCTTATTTCAGTAACTGATATTTCTAAATTTTTGAACACGCTGTATAATTTATTTTACAAAGTGTAAGTAATTACTAACCAACTATATACAGGTGTACGATGTGCCATAAGTTTCATGAAAAAAACATAAATTGCTTAACAGTGGTAAAGATATATATGAAAATATTAATTCTGCACTCCATACTTTTGATTCCTTCTAACAGCTTACCCAGTAGAGCTGCAAACTTGAGGTCAATAAGAAAGTTGCCGTTAATGACCTGAAAAATACCATAATAAAATTTAAACAAAAAAGTGCAGATCCCTTTTGCCTCATGGTTTTCATTTTTCATCCATATTTTTTTAATTTTTATTGATTTGGATGCTCGGCAAAAGCTTCTGGTAGAAAGTAGACGATACTTCCAAAGATTAGTCACTCACGTCTGATGAGTTACTTGAGATGTCGTGTGGTTAATGATGCTCTCAATAAGTGCGAGGAAAAATATTGAGAATTGAAACGTTAATTAGCAAACAGCTTTTTTCTAAATGGCATTAAGAATGTATTCCACCAAATAATATTAATTAACGTGTAATTGTTTAAAATATTACGTAGCATATATTATTGCGTGTATTAGAAGCGCACTATACCATACAGTAGGTACTATCAAGATGAAATCTTAGAGCTTACTTTGTCTATGTTAAATAAAAATAGCGTTCGCATATGAACGAGAAGAAACGGTAAGTATCGATGTTGCTAGTAATAGCACTCATACAATTTGGTGCGCGTGACCGGTGACAAGAAAAGCAGGCACGAAGATTTTATATTACCAGTATTGTATGTCCTTACTGAGTCAGATGTTTTCCCTCTATTTTTAATATTTTCATTTATATTATTAAACTTCGTTACTAATTAGATTTTTGTATATTGGGAATCAACACATTAAAGAGGTCATGTTTACAGAA